CCTGCTTAGTCGGGTATTCTGTGTTGTTGTTGGCGGAGATCCTTTACTGCACGTCCACCCAATCCACCATCTTGTTTGTTCTCTACCCTGGCATCTCTTGTGGCCAGCTGGGGCAGCAGCTGAAACTGGAGGCCAGCCCAGTCTTCCGCGAGGGGCACAGCTCCTGAGAGCCGCTATAGCAAGGCCACCATGCCACTTTGGTTTGAAGCCTGTAGGAGGCACTCAGAGCATCTCTGATAGCAGCCGGGTTTCCACACTCTTACCTAGGTACCTCCCCAGCTTAGGCAGAAGTGAACCGGGCAGTGTGATGAAGTTCTTCAGGAAAGGAAGGGGGCTCTGAGACCTGAAGGGCAGTGGCTAATGGTGTAGGGGACTCTAGGCCTGTTAGCCTCTCTGCTGCCCAGGTGGGACTACCTGTCAGCATGTGCTTCCCTCGTTTCTCTATACCTGCGGACCAGCTAGAGGCAGCCCTGTCCTCGGGAGGGGGTTTCAGCTGAGCTTTACTCTCAGGTGTGAAATGCAAGTCCCCTTCCATGATGGTTTCCCCTCATGGCCCGTAATCACAACCCACCTGACAAGAAGAGCTGTTAAGGGGCCCACTAGTTCCTTGGAGGCAAAACTAGGTAGCCCCTGCTGGCTGGGGTCTCCCTCCCTCTAGCTCCTAGGGTCGGGGGCAAGGTGGGCAGCCTGGGAACACCACAGCTCTCACTGAAGCTTTGGGTTCCTGCCCCAGGCACCTGTCGAGTGTCAGGGTCATTTGGCTCCTCCAGGCCTCGTTGCCCTGAGTTTGTCAGGGTTAATGGTCTGGTCAGTAGGATGCGTTTTGCACACAGCTGCTGGGACACTCTGCTGACCAAGAGGCAGAAAAGTTCAAAGAAGAGAAGCCACTCGGTTGTGCCCCACATGAGTTCTAGTCACTGAGGGTGAGCATGTTTCCCAGCATCCTTTGCGCGCCTTGTTTACAGTGCTTCACAGACCAGTGATGGCTTTTCCATGAGCCGTGTGCAGGCTGTTTTCCACAGCATGGACGACATGGTTTCCCATGTGGGCCAACTTTCTAGCCCCTGTTCCCACTGCTTCCTCAGCTCCCTGTTAAGCCTGGCCCACCCAGCTCTGGCTGCCCCAGGGTGGCCCTCACACTTTGTTCCCTCTTGGTCTGGTTCACCCCAGTCCCTCTGCCTAGAACTCCCTAAAATTCCCATCCTGGCCCCTCTTGCTGTTCCAAACCCAGCCCAGTAGAAACCCTATTTCCCAGTACCTCCTCTCATCTGGTGGTCACCTCTTGATTGTGTATACCTGCACTCATTAAGAAGTGTGAAACCAGCTCACAGACAGGCAGCTTTCATCAGCTGTGAGTTCTAAGGGCAGGCGCTGTGTTCTGTGTGTCATACTACACGTGCCAGGCACAGTGCACAGGACAAGCTCAACAAGTGTCGGAATGAAAGAATACATGGATGTATGAATTGACCCAGAGGTGCCTGATTTACTCAAAAAACGTCACAGCCATTTGAGAACCCTGTGGCATCCAGTTCCGTTCTGACACATTGAACCAACAGTAGCTGGTTTAAGGTGGTTTTGGTCCCTAATCATTTGGATCTTTATGTATTAGTCTGAATTCTCTCCTGTTAAGTGCAGTTGAGTTGGTTCTGACTCAGCAACCCTAAATAGGGTTTCCAAGGAGTGGCTGGTGAATTTGAACTGTTGACCTTGTTGTTCAAACCAACAAGTGCCACACCAGGCCCCTCCTAGGGGTTCTCTAACTCCTCGGATAGACAGTATTTAGTAACTCTTTGTATTGAATGAAATGGACTCAAAACCATCTAATTTTAAGGTCCCCCTGGGTGGCACAGATGGCTTGTGCTCGTCTGGTAACATCAAGGTTGGCAGTTGGAACCCTGTCTGTCAATCTGCTCTTGTAAGGATGTCAGCGAAGCCAGGAAACTCTCTGGGGACTCTTCCGATGTGTAGTGAGGTCTCCACCAACCACCACAGCAAAACTGGAGGGTTCGCATTGCTGCCCGTCTGTGAGATGAGCCGAGAAGCAGGCAGAGCGAGCACAGTAGTGGCGGATCTGGGGCGCTCCAATGATCTCTGTCCCCTGCATGCCATTTGGTTCAGCTCCTCTCTGCTCTCCTGAGGGCTTTGGGGAGACTTGGCTGCCTCTGGGCTTTAGTCTGCCTATGTCTATGCCTCATCAGCACCTTGAAACACCCAGAGCCGAGTGCTGGGGAGGGCAGCCACTGGGTCTGCAGAGCCCCTCCCCTCCCTCTGGTCTGCTCACCACAGGCCTGCTTTGCCCACAGGCCAAGTACCTGGCCCAGATCATCGTGATGAGCATGCAGGTGGTGGGCAGGGCCTTTGCCCGGGCCCTGCGGCAGGAATTTGCAGGTGAGCTCGGGCCCTGCTTTCCTGAGTTATCGTTGACAGGAACTCCTGAGGTGGGACATGTTGGGAGTGGGTTTGGGGGGTGAGAGGGTGGTCCTTCTAGGGCACTGTCCTACAGTGGGAAAGTGCTGACTTTGTGAAATTCCTTTATTAAAATTCCTCATCCTACCAAGTCAAAACAAGCACTCAGGGCAGGGCTTAGAGTCTCTGGGTAGCAGAGAGAGTAAGTGCTCGACTAGCCGGAAGGCGTGGTTCAAACCCTCCCACAGTTGCCTTGGAAGACAGTCCTGGTGATCTGCTTCTGAAAGATCACAGCCTTGAAAATGCAAACGAGCAGGTCTGCTGTGCACACGTGGGGGTGCCACTCCACAGTCATTACCAACAAAAGCAGGTGTTGGCAAACTGTTGGCTGTTTTGTAAATAAAGTTTTATTGGAACACAGCCATGCCTGCCTGCTTACATATTGTCTTGCTACTTTTGTGTCAGCGTTTAAGAATTGTGACCAAGAAGGTTTGACCTTCAGAATCTAAGTTTGCTCAGTAACCCTTTAAATAGTAAGAAAAAGGGTACAGGTCTTGATTCTTGGGTCATTTGGAGTAATCGGTTCCTGAGCAGCCTGCTGTGGTGGCAGCGTGGGTTAGGGGGGGACAGCCATCTGGCAGAGCTATTATTACCCATGCCCACAGCTCCCGTCTGCCCCTGCCCAATTTACTGTGCCCTACCCCCAAGCCAAGGAGAGGGAGAGCCCAAAGAGACAGGGTCACCCGTGGTCTAGTTTGGGGACCAGATGCTAGTTGGATGGCCAGCCCTAATCCTACAGAGAGCCTTCTGTGACCTCAGTACACTCCTCCTCTGCTCTCTGCAAAAAGCCACTCCTTGGAAACCTTCTCCAGAGTCGCTGAATCCAAACCAACTCGCCAGCACTTAGAAGAGAAAGGACACCTGCTCACCTCTGTCCCTGGGCGTCTCTTATGGCACCTGGCAGGAGTGAAGTGCCCAGCTCCGAGGTCACCAGGACTGACCGCTCACCCTGTGTCCCACAGCCAGCAAGGCAGCTGCTGATGCCCGAGGTCGTGCCGGCCACCAGTCAGCTGCTGCCTCCAACCTCTCTGGTCTCAGCCTACAGGAGGCTCAGCAGATTCTCAACATTTCCAAGCTGAACCCTGAGGACATCCAGAAGGTGAGGCGGTGGCTGCTGACTAGCTGGGTTGCGGGAGTTACAGGAAGCTTGGAGGGGGCTGCTGCCAAGCCTCTCACCACCCTGGGAGGGGTCAAGCCCTGTAAGCTAACCAGGACCACTCACCACTGTCTCCTATCCTCTGTAGAACTATGAACACTTGTTCAAGGTGAATGACAAATCTGTGGGTGGTTCCTTCTACCTGCAGTCCAAGGTGAGTGGCATGAAGCCTGGAGCTGGCAGGGGGGACGGTGTGCTTGGTCAGCCCTATCTCTAATGCCCCAAACCCAGGGGTCATCCCACATGACGCTCTTGGTGGCCTCAGTCCTGGAGAGAGGATGCTGGCCTTGCAGGCCACCCTCACCTGGACCATGAAAACGGGCATCTGTGGTGTTCAGTCCTTGCCAACAACAGGAGACCTGTCTACTGCTCTCAGGGGACTCTGTGCCCAGGACAGAGGACAGATGTGGAAGGCACACATCCTGCCTCAGTGTGTGACACCCATCTCTCCCCCACAGGTGGTCCGAGCAAAGGAGCGTCTTGATGAGGAACTCAAAATTCAAGCCCAGGAGGAGAGAGAGAGAGATCAAGCCCCCAGGACGTGACTGCCGCTCTCCCTGCTGCCCCCCTTGTTTATAGCTCAGTAATAAATGTCATTTCCACTGTCTTGTGCACACATCCAGTTCCTGAGGCCAGGTCATTCCTCCTGCCAGCAGCAGGAGCATCTAGCTGGGTCTGGAATCTGGCAGAGTGCCGCTTCGTGCACCAGGTGAAGTGTGGCTGGTCCCTGTGTTGAACAAGCACCCCAGACGGGTGTGGGTGGCAGCACAGGTAAGCACAGCCTCTGCAACTCGCTTTTATTGTTTCTTTATAAACTTCCTCTCACCTGGAGGAATATAGTGTTATAGTCATTAGCTTATCTTTTTTGTTTTTGTTTTTTCTTAAAACTCTATGCTAACAGCAACTGAGCCAAGAGGAGGAAAACCATAAGCTACAATAGAAAGGCACTTAGAACCTGTTAAATACTGATATCCTGGAATGTGCAACCACAGACAAGACAACAAGCACAGACGTACAGCCTGCTCTTCCACCAGTCACATGCTGCCTGACCCACCCCAGCCAGCACAAGGGTCTGGGAAGGGACCCCGAAAAGGGAGACCAGCTCCCTTCAACACTGGCAGGGGCGGGGGTCCTTGGCCAATCAGGGTGACCCCTCTGGGACAGAAGGGCAGTCTGGGAAGGGATGAGGCCAGCAGAGTGCCTCTGGGGAATGCTGCCGGGCACCCTACACTGAGTGGAGGAGGTAAAGGGTTAGTCTGCCTTGAGAGGGGGTCAGGAATAGGAGAGGGCATAAACTGGCTCCTCCAAGAATGGCAGTTACCTGGTTCAGCTTTAGCTGTGGAGCATAGGGTTCTGGTTTTGCGGAATTAGGGCCCTCTGAGCCAACATCAACCTGGGGAGCTAGGCCACACTGCTGGACCCAAGGGGACCAGGGACCTCAGTGCCCAGCCACCAGATGGCTCTCACCCTCCCCTCTGATGTGGAACCCTAAAAAGAGCCGGTGCCTCAGCCTGGGGTCTGTCAGCCACCCACCCATAAGGTGGCCCTGCTGAGCAGCATAGGCCCCAGGGTCTCTGGGAGACTGCCCCTCTCCTTCCCTGAGCAAGGACTGGCCTACCACCACCATTCTGGCCCCTCTGCCCTCCCTATCCAATGCCCCCAGACCCACTTGCCACTCTCTCAGGGTTCCCTGAGGCAGAGAGGGAGGCTCAGAGGTGAGGACAGTTGTCTAATCCTTGGCTGTGTCCAGGAAGGGGGAGGGTGGCATGGGGCAGTGGAACGAGCAGGCCTCCCATCTCATCCAGAGCAGGAGGCACCTTGTCATGGGGTGAGCAGGGACAGGTGGCTTCTCTGTGGCTTTACCTGGGCCTGCGTCTGTTTGGCCTTCCCTCTGGAGGGTGGGTCAGCGAGAAAGGGGGTTCCTGGAGCCCTAGGGGCAGGGTTGTCTGAAGCTAAGGAGTAGGCAGAGCGTCTGCTTCTCAGGGCTCATGGTCACAGTTCATGATTGGGGTGGGACAGGTGTCACCCCCCATCCTCACCCTCACTGGCTACCAGTGCTGAGCAGGTGGAACGGGCGGGCATAGGAATGGGAAACACTGTGGGGGCAGGGGTGCTGCCTCAACACTCCAGAGCCCAGATCTCTGGACAGCAGGTCCAATGTCTCCGTGGGGAGCTGGCAGTGACCTAGCACCGTCCCGCAGCCCAGCAAGTCTGGGGCTGGTCTGTTCAGGGCCACAGGCAGGCAGTCCGTGTGGGTGGGTGGGAGGACATTATTGCTATTTCGCAGAAAGAGTTTCCGTTCGTCATGATGGGCCAGGAACTGGGTGGTTCAGTTCACCACAGCTGGCTTGAGTAACACTGAACCGGGGGGAATGACCACCCAGCCTGGAGCCATCGCCTCTGGGCTGCTGGCTGCCGAACTTACACCAGTGGACAGGTCTAGCACAGTGCCTGGCAGCAGGGATGGCCCACTGGGACAGGGCCTGGAGCGGCCACTTTCAGTCCTCTCCAGGGGTGTCTTGCGGCCTTCCAAGCCCAGGGCCCTGGTAGGCCCTGAGCCCCGTCCCTTCTCTCCCTCCACCTTGCTCCCAGAGGAGGCAGCCAGGAGGGAGACCACAGGCAGACCCAGTCCAGCGGCCCCAAAGGGCGAGGGCAGTAGCGGGTTCTTTGCCAGGTTAAGTGGCAGGACGGGGCCTGGCAGCCCAGGGCCCAGGCCAGTGGCATTCCCCCCACCCCCGCCATTGCCACAGGCGAGTGCGCTGAGGTCAAGGGGGCCAGGGGCCAGGGGCAAGGGCAGGCCAGGCAGGCCGGGGCCTCCGAAAAGGGCAGCAGGGTTGGGGATAATAATCTGGGCCCCACTGACATAGGGGCTGCCGTCAGGGCCGGGCAGTGGGGGCTTGGGTGGGCGCAATGGCAGAAGCTCTTGTTGCTCATGGGACACGAAGTGACCGTGAGCTTTGATGTGCTTCCGCAGCGAGCTGGGGTCCGTGTAGCGCTTGTGGCAGCCAGGCATCTTGCAGTAGTAGGGCTTGTCCACATAGTGGGTGCGTGTGTGCTTGAAGCGGTCACTGGAGTTGGAGTAGCGCTTGTTGCAGCCTTCGTAGGGGCAGACGTAGGGCTTCTCACCTGTGGGGCAGGCCAGAGTACTGAGGGGGTCAGTCACGCATGTCCACCCCAGCTCTGCTGGGAACACGGGTTTGAGACAGCCGACACTGCCAGGCCCCGGACTGCCCTGAGAGTCGGCTCTGACTCAACACATTGGTTCAAGAGGATCAGCTACTGTGCTGGCTGGGAGCGGAGCCTCCAGAAGTAACTGATGTGAATGGCGCTGTGCTCTGCTTACAGCACTTATCCCCGATTTCAGAGACTGTTTTCATCAGATCACTTCTGACTTTTGGCAGCCCCATGGTTTTCAGAACACAGCTAGTTCCCAAAGGCTTCAGTAAATGTAATCTCTGAGACCACCATCACCAGGACTTTGTTCCAAGGCTAGCCTGTCACTTAGCAGTAATCATCTGCACTACCCAGAATGCACTAACCATCTGCGCTACCCAGAGACTTCTTGTTTTTACGACTGCAGGTGGACTGGATAAAAACTTGTATTACAATAGTCTCACCTATTTTACTTCTGGAGTCCTAGTGTGACGCTCTCCTTAGAAACCCTATTCAGGATCACTATGATTTGAAGCGGACTCGATGGCATTGAAAACCAGTTGTTCTTACTGCTTTTTCCATGATTAGCAAATTGCAAGCTAATGCCTGCAACCTGTTTCTCTAGGCCAGCGGTGGCCCTACTATGTGCTGGGGTACAACGAGTGTTGAAGCAGACATTCTAAAAGGGCTGACAGCGCCCTGAGATACACAGCTTCACAAGGCAGAGCACCAGTAAGGAAGAAGTTGCTAAGTCTCAATGCGCACAGTTGGGGTCCCACCCACTGAAAGGCTTTCCCCAAGGAGATGGTCTTCAGACCCCCGGGCTGCCTCTCTTATCCCTCTGAGCGCGCATGCTCCTTGGATGAGCTCCTCAGACCCTGCCCTGGCTGCACACCTCACCTGTATGTGATCGGTTGTGGATCTTCAGATTCTCCAGGCGCGAGAAGCTCTTGTTACAGGTGGGGCAGCGATGTGGCTTCTCGTTGGTGTGCGTGCGGATGTGGATCAGCATCTTGTACCTGCTCCAGGTGGGGCACAGGCAGAGGAGTGCTGTCAGCTCCACGAATGCCCGAGTCCTGCCCAACTCCTCCCCAAAGCCCTGCAGCAGCCTCCCTCACCTGGCGTTGAAACCCCGGCCATGGCGGGCACACCCCTCCCAGTGGCAGCAATACCCAGCATCCTTCTCGGGCTTGACGTGGTAGTCATTGACGTGATCCACCAAGTCTTGAAGAAGGTCGAACAGCTGGTTGCACTGTGAAATGAGGAGGGTTTGAGCCCGTGGAGTTCTACCTTCCTGACTACACATCCGTCTCTTGGTTCCACTTACCTTGGCCCAGCGACACACCAGCTGTTTGGGCAAGGGCAGCTCAGGTGAGAGGCACTTGTCCTTGGGGGTGGTGAGAAAGGAGGAAGCGGGCAGGTGCAGGGCCCCCCCGGAGCCCAGGGGCAGGAAGAACTGGAAGGAGCTGGGCAGACTGTCCAGATAGCGCAGTGGTTGGAAGTCCTGGGGCAGGAGGATGTGGGGCAGACAGACTGTTCAGTGCCCCTCTGCTCAGCAAGCCTGCTGCCACGCCGCCACCCTCACTCTCCAAACCCTCATCCTCTCCTTACCGGGGCGCTGGGCACTGGAGGCAGGTCCCCACTGCCCTGGCGCTCAGGGGACAGAGAGCTGCTGCCATTGGGGGAGTCCAACCCAGATGGTGGTGACAAGCTAAGGTCCACAAGAGGGGCTGCCGAAAAGCGTCCATCTAGCTTCTCGGGGAACTTAGGGTTCAGCAGGAAGCCTAAAGGAGAGGCACAAAGTTAGGGGTGCTAGAGCTGGGAGCCCCACCCACCACACCATCCCAGACCACATGGGCTTTCAGGTGTATGAGGTCAGCCTGTGAATGGGAAGAGCCCATTTTCAGACAAGGATGATCAGGTTCAGAGACTAGCTCCACATCATCCCTTTCCAGGCTGCCTCTTGCCTCGGTGTTCCCTTCTGCAAAACCCACTCCTTGGACCAAATGCTTCTAAGAGTATTGTAGCTCTAACATGTGATAAGTCTGATTTTTAGGGTCCACATGGAGGCAGAACAGAAGAGGTGAGCACCACACCAAATCTGAGCCCGAAGCAGCCTCTAGGGTGTTCTCTCTCACAGGACTCGGCTTCTCTCCTTCACTAGCTGACCGACAGTCACACAGCTTTAAAGCCCTACTAGTAGCTGTGATCATGGGGTCTTTGCTTACTGCTCCTGGATCCTCTCCCTTGGACTTCCTACACCCTTCATGGAAACAGTGCTGTCGAGCCCATTCAAACTCAGGTCCACCCTAGAGGGCAGAATAGAACTGCCTCGTAGCATTCCCAAGGCCATAAATCTCTACGGAAGCAGACTGCCAAATTTTTCCCCAGCAGAGTGTGCCTGATGGGTTTGAATCACAGAACTCTCCGTCAGCAGCCATGAGCTTAACCACGGCTCCACCAGGGTTCTTTACACGTCTCACCAAAAATCTACACCAAACCTGCTGTCACTTGACTCACAGTAGGGTTTCCAAGACAAAATCTTTGAGAGCAGACATTCTGATCTTTCTCCTGAGGAGTGGCTGGTGCTTCTGAACCACCAACCTTGTGGTTATCGGGCCCAATGCCAAACACACCTCACCAGACCCTCCAAATTCTGGCAGGGCCTCTTTGTGGATCCCGTCTCTACTGCACAAGCTTCGTGAATTTGGCAAGCCAGCTGCCACCTTCCAGGGAGTCATCACCTCCAATTAGAAACCGTTGTGAGGGTTAAAGGATGGTGGAGTGCTGAGGGGCTGCTGCGGACGGACGGCTAAGGCCCCACATTCATCAGGGTGCAGTACCTGAGGGTGGGGAGCCTGGGGAACCCGGAGTAGGGCTGCCGTCCACCAGGCCCAGGTCCCTGTGCAGAGCACGGTGCCGGACCACACCCATGCTCCTCTCCCTCTTCTCTCTTGCCACCCGGAGCTTGGTGATACTCAGCTTCAGATCGAGCGGCTCGTCCAAGGAGTGCATGGTGGTGGGGAACTGGGGTTGGAGGCAGCAGCAGCAGGCAGGAACCTGGAGGGAGAGCAGAAGCGGCACTGTCCCGCTGTAACCGCTGACCCCTCCTCAGGCTGTACCCATTAAAGCCTTGGAAGCCAAGTAGTGAGAAGGTGCTGGGGCAACATGAACCCATCCCCCAGGCAGAGAGCCCCTCTGAGCAGCCCTGACCTCAGGCGGTATGGACAGAGCCACCCACCCCGACCAGTCCCATATCCACTGCCATGAGTCTGTTCTAAGCTCCCAGTCTCCATCCTGCCACGAACGTGAATTCTAGAGAAACTGCCTAGAAAGGCAGTTGAAGGCCAGCTCTTCTCCCTGACACTAGCCAGGCAAATTCAGTGGTCATTTTCAACCAAAGGGAAACAAAGCCCCACTTGAGCGAGACCACCCCAAGTCAGGTGGAGGAGTAAAGTCTTTCTTCCCACTGTGGCGGGGCCCTGTAATTAAGCAGGGTGGACACTTGTCCTGGATGACAAGTGTGACTTTTCCTGAGGAACAGAGGCTGAAAGCTTGTCCCAGGGATCCACTGCAGCCCGGGCTGTTGAGCCCTCCTCCTAGGTGAGACGGGGAGGAGAGGTTGCCACAGGGCCTGGGATACCACCAGGGGGCAGCTGAGGGCTATAGTCCAGCCAGGTCAGTAGGAGTTGGAAGTGAACCGCTCTGATGGTTATTAGGAAAATGTTTCTATTTTGCCCATGAAATGGGCACAAGCCATCTGGAGCTCTCCCTCACCAGTCCCGAGTCTCTTCTCCTAGCCAAGCCCCCATAGCAACTTTATTGGCTCTACTCCTGACTGGGTACCCAGCCCATTCCATCCTAACCTCAGATAAGCTCTACCACATGACAGGCAGCAACTTGGGGTTCTCTGCCCAGGCAACACACCCCGAGACTCCACCAGCAAATGGCTAACACCGGGGGCCAAGCACAAGTGATTTCCAGGATTGTGCTATCCACACAGGTGTCCTAGCTGTTAACCCAGCTACAAAACTCAGCGATGTGAGGGGGGCTAAGACCAGACTGTCATCCCCCCTTTCTCCCTCTGGAGTCCAGGTCAGCAGGTGAGGGATGAATTTGGTTCCCCACGTCCTCCAGCTGGGCAGGGAGCTGCCATCCCCTCTGCCTAGCACCTCTCCCCACCCCCAGTTATCTCTGTCTGTCTGTGTGTCTGCCTGTCCCTCCACCTGTTTATTTTTAGACGTTGGCCCACCTCCCTGACGCTCCACTGTGCTGGGAGCCTGTGAGGGGAGGAAGGAAGTAAATATTTATGCTGATTAAGAATTCAGGAGCCAGGAAGGGCTGGTGGCTTGGTCCTGAGGCTGGCCCAGGGCCACAGGCGTCCCCCACAGCCCTGACCTTCCGGAGAAAGGGACCACAGGGTCGAGAAGGTTTGGGAAGTGGGGATTCAGACTGCCCTGTGATCACCCCTTGTCAGGGCACCACCGTGCTCCTCCCTGGGGGCTAGGAGGAATCTCTGGGCTCTGCGTGACCTTGTTCTTCAGACAAGCAGAGGATACTGCCTCCACTAGGGCTAGAGAGAGCCCCAGAAGGCACCCTTTCTCCCAGGGTGGGGCCCTGGGCACAGCGCCCAAGGCGGACAGGGGGACTCAGCCTCCAGCGCTCTATCCCCAGGGACCCCACCCCCACTTCCTGCCACTTGGTTCGGTCCAAGGAGACGGGTTCTTTCTAAGGGGAGCCAGAGGCCAGCAGAGGCTCTGCCTCACCCCTCCTGGGAAAAGAGGAAGAAGCTGCCCTCAAAGACAGAGCTCCCAGCATCCCCACTCCAAAGGGAGAGACCTCCCGTGACCCCATTTCTACTTTAACCCTGGCCAACCTCAAAGCCTCCCCACCCCACCCCACCCCCGCCTTCTACCCCCACCCCACCTCCGGCAGGCAGCAGCCAGTTCTGGGCTGACGACTCCGCTCTTTGTTCCCGGGCTGGGTGGAGGGGGAAGGCGAAAGCCAGGTCCCCGCACTCCTACAAACCTTGCCCAATCTTTTGGAGCCCAGAGGGGGCGGGGCCCCGACTGAAACCCTGGGCTGGGACACCGTGGGGACCTCCTGAAATCAGCCAGGAAATCACCTCTAGTAAAAGTCCCAACAATCAGTGGAGTAAACAACTTGTGCCCCGATTTAAGGGAAGGCGAGTGATGCTCAGGTGAAGTGGGCATCCCAGTCGGGTGAATGCCAACTACAGACTCCTAGCTGCAGACCAGTTTTTCAATCATGCTGCCATGTTCCCGCAGGGCCGGTCTCCTCTGAGCCTGGTTGAGTGCCTCAGTTTCCCGGCTGGTTAAATAGTAGCTTACTAAACTAATGCCCTACTGGGCGAGAGTGGCTGTGTAGCTAAGCACGAAGGGCCCCATCTATCTGTAATGCCTGGCATGGGGGCGGCCACGAGGCGCTGAACGCGACGTGACGTGACGCCCCACCCACGGGAGGCCCCGCGCCGCGATGACCACCCGCCCAGCGCGGCTTCTCCAGTTGCAAAAGGAACCAATTAGCGCGGAGCGCGCGGGAGGAAGCGGCGGCGACCACCGGGACCACCGGGGCAGCGCCCGGCCCTCCCCCACCCCGGGGCGGGGGTCACCCGGCGGGTGGGCTGGACTATCCCCTCAGGGACCGCCCCCCACCCCCCGCCAGCCTAATCCAGACAATGGCTGCTATTATGCGCGCCAGCGGCCCCGGCAGACGGCCCCCAGCTGCAGCGCCTCGCGGTACCGCCCCGCCCCCCCACGCCAGGTAGGGCCAGCGAGCCAACCCTGGGGGTGGGAGCGCGGGGAGGAGCCACCCCGGGGACAGGCGACTCCGAGCGGGGGCGGAGCCTGCCCAGACTGGAGGGCACCGACCCGGGACAGTGTGGGAAACAGTCCCGGAGAGGCGGACTCCTGGCTCTGAAAAGTAGGGCTGTGGTCATCACACGGCGAAATACAGACCACGAATGAATTTACCGAACCCTCAAACGCCCCAAAATCTGAACCCCAAAACAAAAAACCAAGCCCATTGCCATCTATTCCGACTCAGCGACCTTGTAGGGTGGAGAAACACTTCTTCCACAGATTTCCAAGGCTGCACATTTTCACAGAAGCACAAGGCTTTGTCGTTCTGGATGGGCTCAAACTGTCCACGTTTCATTAGCAGACGTGTAATTAACCGCTGCGCCACCAGGACTCCTCTATGGTAAACGTTAGTGTTATTATGTGCCGTGGAATCGGTTCCGACTCATAGCGACCCTGCATAGGGTTTCCGAGGCTGTAAATCTTTACGGGAGCAGAAAGCCTCATCTTTCTCCTTCAGAACTAGTAGTTTCGAACTGCTGACCCTGAGGTTAGCAGCCTGATTCATAACCATTACACTACCAGAGCTCCTTGGTAAATGTTATTAAGTGCCAATCAGCTTCCACTCACAGACACTGTATAGGATATCCACAGAACACATGGTAGGTTTGAACCTCCAACTTCTCCATTAGCGATCCAGTGCTTATCCTACAGAGCCACACCAGGACCCTTCTGTGGTAAATTTTGTAAAGTGCCTCCAGTCGGTTTCAACTCATAGTGACCCTGTATAAGATTTCCAAGGAACGACTGGATACTGTTATTTGTCCAGGTCTCGCAGCGGGTTAAGCGCTAGCTCACTGACTAAAAGCTCTGGGGGAGGAACCTGTCCCTCTGCAGCAATTTGCTTCTGTAAAGATTTACAGCCTTGGAAACCCTATGGGGCAGTTCTATTATGTTCTCTAGGGTGACTACCAACCCAGACACAGCAGCGAATTTTTGCTTTGTTCATGTTGTACAAATGGGAAACTGAGGCTTGAGGTCACGCTGCTAATGGTAGCCTGAGGCAGCTGGAATCTGGCCTCCCAATGAAGGCCCTCCTCCTCAGCTGGGCTGGCTAGAAGCCTGGATGGGTGTATGGGTGTGTGTGTGTGTGTGTGTGTGCGCGCCTGTGTGTAAGGTGGGGGGCAGCTAGCTGGAGCACACCTACTCTGGAGAGTCATTTGAGGTCTCTTTAGCAAAAGCAGGGAGATGGCAGGGCCTTCTGGGCAGCCTGAGGTGAGGTGAGTGACCCAAAGTGCATCAACCTGTGGTCAAGATATCCCTTATTCCTGGCACACTCCTCAAACTGCCTCTTTTTTTAGCTGTGGTCTACCCAGCGTAGGACCTGGGACCAGGACACAATTCTCAAAAATTCATGTGGTCTTTATGATCTCACACAGAAAGAGAAAGGTGTCCCCAGCAACACACACACACCCATCAGCTCAGGCCTGTGATTTGGTGACTGGCTTTATAGATGGAGACGCCGAGGGTAGAAGGGCGGTGACCACCTCAGGGTACAAATGGCTGTCAAGGCCCAAGACTGGGGGCCTTGGGATATGAACCAACTTCTGACAGTGCAACATGCTAAGTGGCCCTCACTGAGGGAGGTGCTGTTTCACCCCCAATTTACAGCTGGGAAAACTGAGGCTCATGGGTATTAAGTGACTTGTGGGTAGCAAAGCCAAGTTTCCAGCCCCAGAGTCCACAGTGTAGGGTGGTGTTGTTAAGTGCTGTCAAGCCAGTTCCAACTCATAACAACCCTGTGTAGGGTTTCCAAGCTGGTGGCTTTGACCTCTGACCTTGGGATTAGCAGTCCAGTACTTATTCTACTGAGTCCTGGTGTGGCGTTCTGGGTTAATACGCTAGACTGCAAAGTTGGTTTGAACTGCAGGGTCAGTGGTTCAAGCTCACCAGCCGCTCCTCAGAAACCCTATACAAGGTTGCTTTGGGTCAGAACTGGCTTGACAACATTGAACAACTCATTCTGCAGTGCCCTACCAAGAATCCCTCATGGGTGGGGATAGTGTTCTTAAGTGTCATCAAGTCAGTTCCAACTCATAGGGATCCTGTATAGGTTATCCAAGGAGTGGATAGTGGGTTTGAACCACCAACCTTGTGGCTAGCAGTACAGTGCTTATCCAACAGCACCACACCAAGACTCCTAGTTGTGGGTTGTATAGGTTATTTTTGTTGTTAAGTGCCGTCTAGTCAATCCTGATCCATAGCGACCCTGTATAAGGTTTCCAAGAAGCAGCTGGTGAGCTTAAACCTCCCGACCTTGTGGTTCACACTGACTTTGCAGTCCAGGGCATTAACCCACAGCTCCTGGGTATGCATGGAGACAGGCAGAGGAGCTTCCCGGGGGTATTACAGGGCCTAGGAAGGGCAGCATCAAACAGTGGGTGGGCACTGGAGAGGCTGGGTGGGGGTGTCGCCAGAGGTTTGGAGAGCTGAGGGTAGATACTGCCAAAGCAAACGGTCCCACAGCCCCACATTCCTGGGAAGAGGCTGCCACACCCAGCTTGGGCCTAGAGCTCCACCGTCCTCAGCAGAAGGGGGGCTAAGGCCTGCAGGGGGCCCCCAGACAGACCTCATCCTCTCCTCTCAGGGCCCCACTTCCTGACCAGACAAGAGAGTACAACTCAGATCAGCCTGGCTGTGCTGCCTGTGTGGCCCAGCAAGTCACCTCCGCTGAGCCTCATCTTCCTCATCTCTAAAATGGGACTGATGACCTTAGTAAGAGAACTCTCCTTGGGGTGTTTTCAGAACCTCAACTGTACAATAAGCACTAGATTTCAAACCACAAAGTTAGCAGTTCCAGTCTACTAGCCAATCCAAGGGCGAATGACAGACTGCGCCTGCAGAGAGTTACAGCCTTGGACCGCCCCCCTATACAAGGGTCACTGAGAATCAGAACCGACTCAATGGCACTTAACAACAATTCATGACTTCAAAGTTTCCAGCAGTATGAGTGAGATAGGCTACAAAAGTTTGTGGAACTCTTTCAGTTCCTTACAATTCAATTCCATTTTTCCATGAACTTTTTGAAGCCCCCTCCTAATATTCAGCACCTGGAACAGTGCCTGAGTAGGAAAGAAAGTTTCCCAGGTCAGTCCAGGTGCAGAGGAGTAAGGATAGTGGAACACGGGGCTGACCCTCCCCTCTAGACCCACAGCCCCTCCAGTCTTGCTCTGAGTTGCGAAGCTAGAACTTTACCTACCCTGCCTGGCACGTTTGAGACCCTAGACAAGTCTGCATAGTGGCCACAACCAACCTGACCCACCATCCAAAGCCCAGCTTCATCAGACACCAAGCACCCGAGGTTCCACAAGGACTGGGCTTTCCAGAGGTTGGGCCCAGGGGATCCAAAGAAAGGGGTCAGGGCAGGTAACACTCTTCCTGGGATAGTCGGGATTCCAGTTTCCCTGGAACCGCCAGGGCCCAACCTCCTGAAAGCCCTCTCTCTGCAGCCCAATCCTTCTAGGGCCTCAGATGCTCAAGGAGCCCTGGTATTACAGTGGTTAAAGCATTCAGATGCTAACCAGAAGGTCCACAGTTCAAGCCCACCAGCCTCTCTGATGGAGACTGATGAGATGTCCAGATTTACGGCCTCAGCCACCATCTGGGATACCTGCACTCTGTTCTCATAGGGTTGCTAAGAGTTGGAACTGGCTTGAGAAGCAGTGGGTTTGGTTTTGGTTTTGAGAACTTCTCCCTCAGCAGACCTACCGTCCCTATCCCGAGATGGGCACTCAGCCCCCCTGGGAGGGCCCGGGGGAGCCTGGGAGCAGCTCTGGAGGAGGTACACTATGTTGTCTGTAGTTTGGTACCCAGACAGCATGGTGCCAATCTTGGGTCAGCCCTGGCTGTAGGCCTCAGGTGGGGGGCAGGGGATGCCCACCTCTGAGCTTACAATTCCTCATCGGCTTCCCAGCTCATTGATGGGTGTGGGGGCTTGGGGGTGTCCATAGAGTGGGCTTTGGCACAGTGTCTGGCACAGAGGTTGAGTCAGCAACTGGCAGCCCAGAGGTCTGCTGTCCCCAGCCCCTGGCTGCAAGGTCACCCAGATAGTTGGAGGCACAGCTGATGCCGGAAAGGAAGGTGGGAAGGCTGACTCCCCAGCCCCTCCCCAGCTTCCCAGTGTTGCCTCCCCTCTACTTCCTTCCCCCGGGGCCAGTTGAGTGATCCAGGATCAGGAACCACTCACACATGTGTGCATGCCCGTCTGGCTGCAGGGCCAGCCTGGCACATGGCCCTGCCTCGGCCCGATGGCTACGGCCCCCGTTGTGGCCCCCACCCCCTGCCGCCTGCCTGCCTGCCCGCAGCCACCTTTGCACAAGTATGTCTGGTATTTTCCTGTCTGCCCAGCTTGGGGGGGGGGGCGGTGTGGGGCCCTAAGCACTGCCTGCACCTGGGCCTCAGCCAGAGGGGAGTCCGCCAAGCAGCCCCCTGAGCTTGCCCGCCCACCCGGCAGGGAGGGAAGGGAAGGGAAGGGCTGGGCCCAGGCTGCCTAAATCTCTGGGAGGGGCCAGCACTGAGGGAGCCAGATGGGAGACACACGCCCAGTAAGGCCATGCAGAGGCGGCCCAGGTCCTGCCAGGGTGGGCAAGCAGGCCTGGGCACTCAGCCAGCAAAGGCATCAGCCTGTGCCCCAAAGGACAGGCCCCCACAGATCCAAGACATCCAGGGATATGCATACACATCACACCTGGACACAAACCCCTGAACACAAGCAGGGCAGGTAACCGGGTCCCAGCACCAGGACCCAGAACAATGGAATGCTCAGCTTATTGCAGGAAGGGGGGAGGCGATAGTTTGAAGCCCACTCTGCAAAGGACAGGGAGCACAGCTCCACTGACCCGGGTCCAGGCACCCGGCCCAGTATGGCCAGCACCTACCAGCTGGGGGCGGGACCTGGACTTTGGTCTTTCTGGCCTCATCTCCAGATCCAATCACTCATTTATTCATTCCAACACCAGGCCCTCCTCCCGGCTCTGGGGCCCACAGATGAACAGGGCAGACCCCAACACTCCAAGGGACCCAAACCCCGCTGAAGAAACAATGTTAGGGAGACGCCTCTTTTGCTAAGTGTTTGGGGACAGAGCTGGGATAGCCACATGGGATGAGATCTTCTGGTCAGGAAGAGCAGCAAGTCCAAAAAAATGTATCCTTCCAACTCTTGTGAGTGAGTAACTGTGGTCCCCATTTTCCAGATGGGGAAACTGAGGCTCTGAGCAGCTTAGAAGCCTGGTAAAGTCACAGAGGATTCACCTCGTCTTCCAGACTCCAACCCTAGGCGGTGAAATGATTATCGGGCTCAGCTGCTAAAGGGAAGGATGGAGGTTCGAATCACTGAAAACCTTACAAGACACAGTTCTACTCTGAGACACGTGGGGTAACATGCATTAGAATCAACTTGACTGTGACTGGTTATACCAGACCCCAGGCCCAGATTGGCAGAGGCCTGGAGGTACAGCCCCACCTGACCCACAGAGAGCTTGCCTGTTCTTCAGCAGAGGATGAGAGGGCCAAGAGAGAGGCTGGACCAGGGCATGGAGAGCACTGGCAAGCTATAGAATGCTTCATACAGAAGACAGTGCCACCTGCCTTTCCAGTCCAGAACTTCCGAGCCCCAAGCTCGGCCTTTCAACACCTTTTTCTCAGGATCCCCTGCCTTCTACAAACCTGATACTCACCTCTCAGACACCAGCTCCCACTCCTTTCCTGCCCCTCCTCCAGTAAACCATCTCAGATTCACCCTCCCCAGGCCTCAGTCTCTTTCAGCTGCACCCAGCTATTCATTCTTCCAGATGCCTGGCAGCCCCCACTCAGTACAAATCTTGCCTCAGTCCCACAGTGCTGAGGGCAGGACCCCTAACTCAGTGCAGCCCCATGCTTCCGGTCACACCTTGCCCTGGGCCCATGTCCTCACTAATGCTACCAACTCCTGAGCATGCCCTGGGTGCCTGGCCTTGTGCACAGAGCAGCAGTACATGGACACAGGGCAGGGTCTGAGCCCACTCAGAGAGGAACAGGCCTCACTGAGCCCATTTCCAAAGGCTTCCAACCCTGAATCCATTCTCTCCACCGGAGAAATTATCATCATTGAGGTCTAGGGGCAAGGCTACGTGCCCAAACCAGGTCCACCGGTCTGTTTCTCTATCCATGAAAGGAGGTAGTGGCCTGGGAAATAGGACAGAGCTGGAGCTGAACCCCTTCCCTTCTCTATCTTCACTCTTGCCTTTCAATTTCCCCAACCAGCTTGTGACCAGTGAGTGAATGATGAAGAGACATATGAACCCACGTGTGTGCCCATCACCCAAATGAGACACACTGGTATGGAAGGGCTTGCCCAAGGTCAAGGCGAGAGGCAAGCTGGTTCCCTGACCCCCATGCATGCTGCCTTCTCCCAGTCACAGATCTGGAGGAAGGAAGGGCAGTGTGCAGTGATGCCCAACACCACAGCTGCTTTTCCTGCCTCATTGAGCCCTGGCACGGAGCCTCACAGTGGTGGGACAAGACCAAGCCCAAGAGAACTCTGACTACCCTACAAGAAATGGGGGCAGCACGAAAGCCCACCCAATGTTCTTTTCCTTCCACACGGAAACACCCACTGGGTGGGGCCCTGCCAGGCTAGCCCAGGCCTGCTCCAAGCCCTTGGGGCCCAGGGTCCACAAGACCAAACAGAATCATCACTAGATGTCCTGGGTGAGGGTTGGGCAGGTAGGCAGCCAGCCAGCAGCAATGGGGGGGGGGGGGTACTTTAGAACTGGGAGAACAAGGGGCTGACCAATAGCCTTCAGAGTGGGAGGGACATCACACCTAGGAAGGCACTCAGCCTGGAGCTGTGGGGGTCTGGATGAGGGGAGGTGACCCAGGGGACACCAGACTCACACAGGCTGGACCTTGCCAACCAGACCCAGGCGGACGGTGGACGGTGTATGAGAGGGGAGCTTCTTCTAGATCCAACTCTCCCCACGTCAGACCCTAGCAGTGATGGGAGGCCAGTGGAGCTGGCAGGCCTCTCAGGGAGTAGATTAGACAGCCCCCAAACCCCAAGTGAACTTAGACCATGCTCCCAGAGTTTCAGTTTGCCTCTCAGCTCCCAGGGCCTCTATTCCCAAGGTCACAGTGGGTGCATTTTTCTAGTGGTGGAGACCCTAGCTGGACACAGGGACACTTCCTGGAGGTTCCCAGTGAGGACTGACTCAGGCGGCCAGCAGGCGGACAGTCTCCTGAGGTTAGGACTGGAGGAGGGGTTTGGGACTGAGTCCCCTCCCCTGGCAGCCATCTGCCAAGGCAGCAATTCCTGTGTAGACACCATGGCACACACTCAAACGCTGGTCCCTTCCTGTGGCTAGGCCTACCTGGGCGGCAGAAGAGACACAAAGAGCAGGAGAAAGCCAGAGCCAGTGGCCCCTATCCTCACACATGTCCAGCCCCCACTAGGGGGGCATTGGGAACAAAGGGAACTCCTTTCCCCCACCTCTGTGCTCTCTAGACCCTGTCTAGTCTGGTCACCCAGAACCCTTCATCCCATTTTGGGGGGACAGAGGGAGAACAAGCTTGGTAGCCCCAGGATGCCCTGCGTCATCAGGGCCTCCCCAGGAAACTCAGGGGAAGCACAGGTTGGACCACAGGGATGAGAGGGGCCTTTACTCTACCCAGGCGGGGCCTTCAGGGGTTCCCCCAGGGACCGGCTGTGTGGGAGGCTGCTGGAGACATCTGACTCCTTCAGCCTGGGAGGGGTCCCAGGGTTCCAGAAGGAAATGGGGAGGAAGGCTGGGGCAAGGGCCTACCAGCCTCAGCCCACAGCAGGACTCCCCTCCCCCGAGAAAGTGGGCTGAGATGGTGGGGGATGGGCCAGTAGCTCCAGGCAGGTGTACCCAGCATGGTAGAGCCCCGGACCACCTATCCACAGTCAGCCCAGATCCCCCTGAGCCTCAGTTTCCTCCTTTGTCAACCAGAAGTTTATAATCTAGCTCTCAAGGTCACTGTGGCAACCCCAGGTGACAGGTGATGGGGTGAATGTCTGCATGGTTGGCTGGGCCTTTGGAAGACATTTGTGTTGACTAGATTGTTTCAAGGGGTTGTTAGGAGACGGACCCCATCTCCCTGACTAATCTCACTCCCCTCCCCGCCCACCTCCCACCTATCTGGAGACCCCAGGCTGCTGTTGCCATTACATGTAGACAGCAAGGCTCAGAGGTGGCCTCAGAAGAGAAACCAGTTTGCTCCAAGTGGGACCCCACCATAACCTCCTACAAAAGTCCTTCCCTGTCCCCAGGATCAAAGCACTGTCCCATTTTGATAGTGGCTCATCAACCAGCACTAGTCCCCCCAGCCCCCCACCACACCTAAATTCGTGCTCCCCAGCGTGATGCTGAGGCAGTCACCGCAGAAGCCAAATGTATCCCCAGGGCCCTGCCAGGCCTGTGGTCCCCACACCCAGGCCTGGCAACAGGCCGAGGCAGGAATGGGATCATTACCCCATCTGCCCTGCATTCCCAGGAGCATAGCTCCAGCGTGTCTCTGGGGAGGAGGAGGGCATTGCAGACCTCAGGAAGAGATCCAGAAGGTTCTGGCTGAACCCAGAGCCCTCTCCCTGACGGGATATTTCCCATAAGAATGGTGCTTATGGGGATGAAGGGAGCATCACCCAATCACCCGCTGGCATCAGTCATCTGTTGTGAAAAGTAAAGTGGAAATAATCATCCTGAAGAGATTAAAGGGGCCCCGGGGAGATTGTTCCATTCCACTCAGCTGAGGAACTCTGGTGTCCTGGGTTCGAATCTTGGCCACACCACTAACTCCCAGGACTCCTTAGGCTAGACCCTTCCTCTTTCCAGACCTCTAAATTCCGAGGCTCAGTGCCCACCCCTGGAATCTGAACTCCCCACTTCAGTGAGGAGTTTCCTGGGCCTTCCCTGAGGTCCAAGAACCTTGAGGGGCCTCAAAGCCAGAGAAGGCCAAAGCCATGGTCTCCCCATTTCCCCATTAGTATCCACCTCTGCCTCTCAGGCCCCCACGGGCCCCACCCTAAATACCTCCCAAAGAGCTCAACTGCAGCCCCCTCCCCCCCGCCCCAACATCTGGTCCCCCCCCCCACCAAGCCGCAGCTGTCGTCTCCCTCCCTTACCCTGGGATGGCCCCAAACTCTGCCCAGCACGGACCTCCTCCCTCTTTGCCCAAGTGGGAAATTTGGATTCCAGGCGAGTCTTGGTGGACGGAAATGCACATGGGAAAATCGTCGGGAAAACACATTCTTCCTTCTTTCGTCTCAGGCAGCTCCAGCTCAGACCCTTCGAGGATTAGGTGGCAAAAAGCCACTCCCACTGCCCCTGGCCAAGGCCATGCTGGGGGAGGAGGGTGGAGGGGAGAGGGGCCTTAACACAGTGGGGTGAAGAGGGTCCAGGCCTCTCTCCAGACCCAGAGGAGGGGCCCTGGTGACCTTTGTCTCTTGCAGGCCAGGTCACTAGGCCCTGCACTGCTCACCCAGATGGGGATCCCAGGCAGGAGAAGAAATGATCAACGCTACTGCGGCTACCCACTTTGCAGCTGAGTATTTTAGAAGCAACAATAGCTTTGGAGGAACACGGTTCCCAAAACTGCTGAAAGTGAGATTTTTTGGATCATCAGGGCACCCTTTATTTCTACTGGCTCCACCCAGGGATGATGGAGTTGGCTTTCTGTTGGACTTACCGCCCTCCCCTTCCACCTCTCCAGTCACCCAGACTTCTCAGGAAGCCCACTTTGTCTGAACCCTTGGTTTTAGGAGTGAGGAAACTGAGGCTTCAGCCCAAGGACCCCTGGGAGTTGGTGCAGACAAGATTCAAACCCAGAACATCAAATTCCTAGGCCAGGGGCTTTTCCCACTTACCCTCTAAACTGTGGTTCGGCTCCGGTAAATCCCCTAACTCCACTGTCCCCAAAAGTAGTAGCACTGTCTGGAAATGGGGTGACTCACTGTCTGGGTTTCCGGGGCACCCCCTCCCCATCAGTGAGAGAGGGACTGGCAAGTGTCCCTGCATAGAGAGCCAGGAGCAGAAAGAGGCCCCCCAGGGGGCCTGGGCCAGGGTCACTCAGGGGACGAAGAGCTCAGCTGGAGAGATTGAACACTGAAGGTCAAAGGTTACAGACGGGGAAGGGTGGGCAGGCAGGGGGGTCAGAGGGTCAGCGCTAATGGCAGCTCCGGAAAGGAGGGGGAGGGGAAAGGGCTAAGAAAAACAGGGTTACTTCCAAGGGATCCCCAAGCTCCCACACAGCGCCCCAAGCCCCTGGTACCATTTCCTACTTAGCTGGCCACAAACAGAGCCAAGTGGAGGGCGGGGTGGAGGGTGGAGGTTGTGAAATGGGCTGGAGACTGGAGCTCAGCAGGGTGCCCAGGGAGGGATTCAGGGAGGGACCCCCCAGGTGCAGCCCCTCCTCCAGAGTAAGGCAGGGCCAGCCTGGGCTCAGAGGGAAAAGGAAGGAGGAGGGCCAGAGGGGAAAAGGCTCCCAGGTCACCTGGGAGGGAGGGATGTGGGGGCTGGGCTGGAACAGCTGTGGCACTGTGACACCAGGAGCAGGATTGGGAGGGGTGGGTGGGGTGGGGTGGGCAGACTAAGCCCGCGGTGAGGAGACCCCCCAAGCAGGAGCGTCTCCCATCTTCTGGGCTGTCATCCCCAGCTGCCCGCTAAGCCCCACCTCCCTTCAGGATGCCAGGACCAGGCATGTGGGAGCCTACTAGCCAGGATGTATCCTCCCAGGACCACAGCTCAGGCCCTACCAGGGACTCAGCCGGAGAACCACGGCAGCCCAGGCCTTTGGCTAGGGCCCACTGGCCTGGCTGCCCCCACGGTGTCAAGCGCTCCTTCCAGAGCCAAGATCCTGACCGTGATGGCTGGGGGCCCAGGGCTCCTCCCAGCATCCCTTCCCGCTTCCCAGGCCCCAGGGCAGGGCAGGCAGCTCCTGCAACCATCACTGTCCAGCCACCGGCTGGCTGGCCAGGCAGGCCCTCTTGGACAGGCGGCACGCTGCCCTGCTGTGGCCCGAGAGCCCGGCTGGGCAGGGCAGTGCGCCAAGGCCTCCAGGTGCCAGCCTGGATTTCAGCCCCATCCCAGGGGGCCGGCGGGGAAACAGGGCACAAGCAGCCATCGGCTTCCCTCGGGATGCACCTGCCTCGCCCCCTCCCCCGCCACCTCCAGACCTTTACACCAAGGCAGATCTGGATATCCCTGCCCTCCTTGCTCTGCCAGATAGATCCTCGCTCTCTCCCACCCAGCTAGGAGAGCAGAACAGAAGTGTTGGCCCGGTGTCCTAAGGGCTGCGCCCCTGGAAAGCGGGGGTTTGCCACGGGCAGCAGAGGAGAGACTTTCCGGGACAAGGGAGGAGACACCTTTCAATGCCCTTCCTCCAAACAGCCCCGGCGCGGCCGCAGGGACAACCGTGGGGAGGGGCGACTGAGTGGCAGCTGTAAGACAACTTCGTGCCCAGGCTCCGATGCCCTCCAGCGAGCGGGGCGGCCCCGCACACCAAAGCGCGCCCCCACTGCGGCCGCCTAACTTCCCCGCCGAAGTTTGCGCCCGCCCCGGGCCAGGCCGTGACTCCGGCCCGACCTCCGGACGGCGGGAGGGAGGAAGGGAGGAGAAAAGCGGAGAGCCGGAGGGCCGGGGCCGGGTAGCAGGCGAGGGAGGGAACGCGTGAGCCAGCGAGCAGCAGCAAGCGAGCGACGCGGGGCCTCGGCGAGGGCTCACAATGGCCCGGGGCGCGGCGAGGCGGGGACAGGCGACCCTCCAGTCCGCAGCCCCCGCGCGCCCCCCCCCGCTCGGTTCCCGTCCCCACGGCGCGACGCCCGGGGGCTTCCTACCTCGGCGGCGGGGACGGCTCCGGGCTCCGGCGGTCGGGGGGCTGCGGGGGCACAGCGGGGGAGGGGGCCGGGCCGGGCGGGGGCCGGGGCACGAGGCTTACGGGGCGCGGGCTCCCCTGGCACGGCCGCCCGGCGCCCGGCCGCTCCGCCACATCTGCAGCTCGGGCAGGGAAGGTGGCCGCGGCGGCCCGGCCGTGCGGGGATGTCTTAGGAGGGAGGGAGCAGGCAGGAGGGAGGTGGCGGGGGAGGGACCGGCGGCCGCGGAGGAGGAGGAGGAGGGGCGCGGGGGACGGCCTCCCTCCCTTGCTCCCTCCCTCTACTCCAACCCCTCTCGCCGCCGCGGCCCCAGGCCCCGGGCGCCAGCTGCCAGGCGGGGCGTGCGCATCGGGGGAGGGGGCGGCCCAAGCCCGCGTGGAGCAGGGGGAGGGGCGCAGGGGCAGGCGGTGCAGCCGCTGGGAGCCGGCCCCGGAGGGAGGGAGCGCCAAGCTGCACCTCCTTCTTTGCCCCTCTCTCGCCCCTCACGGCCCCGCCCCCAGCCCCGGGGCAGCGTTAGGACTCGTCCGGGAGGTGGCCTAAAGAGGGGAGCGCGGGGAGATGGGCTGAATATCCCGCCCTCGGGGAAGCCCGGGAAGGGGGGGGGCGAACGCGCTCGGGGAAAGCTCCGTAGACGGCAAAGATGGAGGAGGTTGCCGCGGCCGAGGGGCGGGGGCTACTCGCCTTCTTCCAGCGGGGTCACCTTGGCCGGGGCCCCCGCGTCCCCGGGCTGCTTGGAAGGCGGCCGGAATGCCTCTCCGCAGGCCCTGATTTCTCCGCCCATCCCAGTTCCGGGAACGCGCGGGCAGCGCCCGGCAGTCAGAGGCCCCATCTCGGGATTCAGGGCCGCTCACAGCAGGTTCGAGGCCCGCCTCGGCTTCGCTGTGGCCGTTTGACGCCGGCCTGATCCCTTCCTTTCCCTCGACCTCAGTTTTCTTAACGATTCGAAAAGGACAGGGCCTGGTCCTAACCAACCCTGACTTGCGCTCCGTCCCCTATCTTGATTCCAGAGGTGGGAACAACCTGTGTGCTCAGCCTGAGGCCCCAGGGGTCTCGATCCTGTGCGGAGCCTCGGTACTGGCTCGGTGCTCCAGACTAGAGGAATAAACGCATGCAGATCGGCGAGAAAGCCCTGAATCCTGATCAACTGTGTTCTACGACCCGATGTAGAACCATGGAACCGCGTTCTGGAGTGTGTTTTGTTTGAGCCAGTGATCTTGGTGCTGCTCTGCCTTCTTGTGGTTTAAAAACAACCCTTGCTGCGGTCTGTCGGCTAACCCCGCTGCCTCGCTGTTGGTCTTGAGGAGACTTAAAAGGTGTTTTAAAATCAGCGTCCCCTATAGACTAGAAGGCGTCTGATACCAGCCTTCATTGGTGTAGTTGATGACCCGTGCCGCTACCAGAGCCACAAGTGTGTTGGTCCTGATCCACAGACATACTAGGCGCTCATGACCGTTGTGTGAACGAACACGTAGTGGGTACTCATTATATGTTGATCTATTGCCCACAAAGTCAGCACATAGTAGGTGACCATTACATGTTTCACCAGCACTGCAAAGGAGTCAGTCCTGATCCACAGGCATTCTAGGTGCACATGACCATCGTGAATGGACACATAGTGGGTACTCATTACATGCCGATCTAATAGACATATATAGTAGGTAAGCATTTCATTACATGTTGATTGAATAGGCCCAAAGTAGGTGCTCATGAGGAGGGAGTCCTGGTAGCACAGTGAGTTGTTGATCTCCTACCCTCAAGGTCAGTTGTTCAAAGTCACCACTGGCTCTGTGGGAGAAAGCTGAGGCTGCTTGCTTCCATAAAAGCCTACGATCTTGGAAGCACTACAGAGCAGTTCTACTCTGACCTACAGGGTCGTTTTGAGTCCGAATCGACTTGATGGCAGTGAGTTAGGTTCTCATAGCAGAGTGATCAAACACAGTAGGTGCTCGTAACCTGTAGCCTGAATGGACACGTAGTACGTGCTCATGACCTATTGGGTAATATATTAAAGGGATTTAGGAAGCTAGTTTGCCCTTAACCAAGGCCTGTGAAGGCAGTGATGTGGAGATATTTTTCCCCTTCTGCCCCAACCCCATCCTGATTTCCAAGTGTGGATAATGTGGACTGTGACCAGATTAAACAATTGAAAGATGGGACCTAGGACCTTCCAGGCTGTTAAAGGGCCTACACTCTGGGTTGAGAAGAATCTGTCACTGGGAAAAGTAGAGGCTGGTCAGCTGAAAAGCGCTGCCTTTCGGCATGGAGAATCCCTGCGGGAGTCCCGCCCTCCAGAGGGCGGTGTCACAATGGCCAGGCAGGGCTACAACCCCGGGAAATCCAGGTTTCTCAAAAAAGAGTCGTCCCGACCCATAGCGACCCCTTGTACGTGTACAACACTCCCTGCACCACCCTCACAATCCTTGCTGGTTTTGAATCCACTGCTATAGCCATAGTGCAACCCGGTCATTCTTTTTCACTGACCTTTTACTTTACCAGCATGATGTTCTTCTCCAGGAGTTGGCCCTCCTGATAGCATGTCCAAATTACTTGAGATGAAGTTTCAAGATTCTCACTTTTAAGGAGTGTACTAAGTGTAATTATTCTTCTGGCTGTCTCTGGTATAGTCAGCATTCTTCTTCAACACCATAAATCAAAGGTATCAATTCTTCTTTGGTCTTCTGTGTTCGTTGTCCAGCTTTCACATGCATACGAGGCAATTGAAAATACCTGGGCTTGGATCAAGGGCACATTAGTCCTCAGAGTGACATTTTTCTTTTTAGCACTTTAAAGAGATGTTTTGCAGCAGTGCTTAATGCAATACATCATTTGCTTTTTTGACTGTTGCTTCTATGGGTGTTGATTGTGGGTCAACATAAAATAAAAGCCTTGGTAATGTCAGTCTTTTCTCCCTTTATCACGATGTTGTTTTATTGGTCCAGTTGTGAGGATCTTTGTTTTCTTTATGTTGAGATGTAACCCATACTGAAGCTGGTAGGCTTTGACCTTTATCAATAAGTGTTTCAAGTCTTCTTTGTTTTCAGCCAGCAAGGCTGTGTGTAATCTGCATATCTCACCCAGGTTGTTAATGAGCCTTCCTCCAAACCTGAAACCACATTCTTCTTCATATGATCCAGCTTCTCATTATTTGCTCAGCATATAGATTGGGTAAATATGGTGAAAGGCTACAAACCAGACACGCACCTTTCCTTAAAGTCACACAACATCTCCTTGTTCTGTTTGAATGACTATCTCTTAGACTATGTACAGGTTCCTCATGAGCACAATTAAGTGTTCTGTAATTCATATTCTTTGCAATGGTATCCATAGTTTATTATGATTTACACAGTCCAAAGCCTTTGCATAGTCCATAAAATACAAGTAAACATCTTTCTGGTATTCTCTGCTTTTAGTCAAGATCCATGTGACATCAGCAGTGATAGCTCTCTTTCTATATTATCCTCTTCAGAATCTGGCTTGAATTTTTGGCAGTTCCCTGTCAATGTACTGTTGCAACTGTTTTTAAATTATCTTTAACAAAATTTTACTGGCATGTAATATTAAAGATATTATTTAATCATTTCCACATTCCATTAGGTCACCTTCTTTGGACAGAGCACATAGATAGATCTCATCCCATCAGCTCACCAGGTGGTGGTCTTGCAAATCTCTTGGTACAGATGAATGAGCACATCCAACATTGCATTTATTTATTGAAACATTTTAATTGTATGCAATCAATTCTTGGAACCTTGGTGTTTGCCATTGCCTTCAGAGCAGCTTGGACTTCTTTTTAATACCATTGGTTTTTAATCATATGCAACTTCCTGAAATGGTTGAATGTAAACCAATTCTTTTTGGTACAGTGATTCTGTATTCCTTCCATCTTTTTCTAATCCTTCTTGTATTGGTCAATATTATATCCATAGAACCCTTCAGTATTGCAACTCAAGGCTTGAATTTTTTTCTTCAGTTCTTTCAACTTAAGAATTTTTTCTCCCTTTGGGTTTCCTAATTCCAGATCTTTGCACATTTTATTGTAGTACTTTACTTTGTTTTCTCAAGCTGTCCTTGGAAGTTTTCTGTTCAGCTCTTTTACTTCATAATTTTTTTTTCATCCACTTTAGCTTCTCTACATTCAAAAGCAAGTTTTAGAGTCTCTGCTGACATTCATTTTGTTTTTTTCTTTCTTTCTTGTCTTTTCAATGATCTTTGACTTCATGTTGTTCATAATGGCATCCTGCTTGTCTGGTCTTCAGTCATTATTGGCAATGCATCAAATCTATTCTTGAGATGGTCTCTAAATTCAAGTGGGATACTCAAGGTTAGAATTTGACTCTCATGGACTTGTTTTAATTTTCCTCAGTTTCAACTCGAACCTGTATATGAGCAGTTGATGGTCTGTTCTTTCAGTCCCTGTTCCTGTTCTCACTGCTGACTTTAAGTTTCTTCACTGTCTCTTTCTACAAATATAGTCCATTTGATTCCTGTGCATTCTATCTGGTGAGGTCCACATGTATTGTTGTTAGGTGCCATTCAGTCAGTTCAAACTCATAGTGACACAATGCAAAACACCTTCCCAGGTCCTGCGCCACCCTCACAAACATTGTTATGCGTGAGCCTTGCTGCTGCCATCACTGTGCAGGTCCACCTCCTTGAGGGTCTTTCTCTTTTTCTCTGACCTTCCACTTTACCAAGCATGATGTTCTTCCTCAGGGAACGGCTGTTCTTGATAATAGGTCCAAAGTATGAGAGAGAAAATATCTCCATCCTGTTTGTTCTTTTGTCAGCCTATGGTACTTTT